TATTATCAATGACGACTATCACGAATGAATCCAAGTAAGGCCTGAACACTTGGTTCATCAAATCCATAAAAGTTGTTGGGGCATTAGTCAACCCGGATGACATTACCAAGAACCTGTAATGCTCGTACCAAGTGCGGAAAGCTATCTTAGGGACATCGAATGCCCTAATCCTCAACTGATGGTAGCCAGATCTCAAGTCAATCTTCGGAAATACCTTGGCACCCTGAAGCTGATCAAACAAATCATCAATCCTCGGTAATGGATACTTATTCTTAATTGTAACCTTGTTCAACTGCCGGTAATCTATACACATTCCCATCGATCCATCCTTCTTCTTAACAAACAACACTAGCGAACCCCAAGGCGAAACACTAGGTCTAATAAAACCTTTTTCAAGCAAGTCTTGCAACTGCTCCTTCAACTCTTTCAACTCGGGCGGGGCCATACGATACGTCGGAATAGAAATGGGATGAGTGCCCGGAGCCAAATCAATGCAGAAGTCAATATCCCTGTCGGATGGCATACCCGGCAGGTCTGAAGGAAATACCTCAGGAAACTCACGAACAATAGGCACAAAATCAATAGAAGGAACCTCTGCACTAGAATCACGAACATATGCCAAATAGGCAAAACACCCCTTCTCGGCCATACGTCGAGTCTTCATATATGAGATAACACTATGTGTAGAATGACTAGGAGTCCCTCTCCACTCTAAACGAGGTAAACCTGGCAAGGATAAGGTCACAGTCTTGGCATGACAGTCCAAGATAGCATGGTAAAGTGATAACATTCCATCCCCAATATGATATCAAAATCAATCATGTCTAGAAGTAACAAATCTACACGAGTCTCAAGACCTCCAATCACAACTATACACGAACGATGGACTCGATCTACCATAATAGAATCACCCACCGATGTAGACACATATATAGGAGCACTCAAAGAATCACTAGGCATGACCAGATACGGTGCAAAATAAGATGACACATAGGAGTATGTAGATCCTAGATCAAATAAAACTGAAACATCTCTGCTACAAACCAGAACAGTACTTATGATAATTGCATCGAAAGCCTCAGCCTCAGGCCTGGCTGGAAGAGCATAACATCGGGGTTGGGCCCCACAACCCTGAACTACATCTCTGGGATGGCCTGCTGCTGGCTGACCTCCACCTCTAGTTGTCTGACCTCCACCTCTACCTCCACCTCTATTGCCTATACCCCCACCACTAACTGGCGGGGCGGGCGGTGGAACACCTGGCGCCTGAACCATAGCACGGGAACCCTGTTGCTGCAACTGAATACCCTCTAATCTTGGACAAGCCCTCCGGATATGACCATACTCACCGCACTCAAAGCATCCACCTGAATGTTGTGGATGGGGAAAGTGAGACTAACCTTGGCGACCTGAATGACCACCCCGAAAACTCTAGAGTGGTGGTGCATTGATAGGAGTTGGTGGTGCACTGTAGGGCTACTGATCAGAATACTACATATGAGAACCACGGCCACCTGAAGAGCCGTGAGAAACCTGAAGTGCTGACTGAAAAGGCTTAGGATGATGGCCTCTACCATATGAATCTCTGCCTCCAGACGAGGCACCACAGAATCTGCCTGAATGACGAGGCCTCTTGTCAGACCCCTGACCACCCCCCTGCGATAGAACCATCTTAACTCTCTTGGCCACATTGGCCGCCTCCTGGAAATAAATCTCACTGCCCGTCTCCTTAGCCATCTGAAGTCGAATAGGCTGAATGAGTCCCTTAATGAACCTCCTCACCCTCTCTCTCTTGGTGGGAAGCATGATAAGAACATGACGGGCCAAGTCGATGAACCTGGTCTTGTACTGAGTAACAATCATATAACCCTGCTGGAGATGCTCAAACTGCCTCCGATAGATCTCTCTCTGAGTGATAAGGAGAAACTTCTCCAAAAATATCTAAGTAAACTGCTCCCAAGTCAAAGCTGGTGATCCGGCTGGCCTAGCCAAACAATAATCTCTCCACCAAGTCTTGGCATATCCAAACAAGCGGAAAGTAGCAAAGTTGTCCCCATTGGTCTCCACTATCCCCATGTTCCTGAGAACCTCATGATAGCTATCTAGATAATCCTGGGGATCCTTCGAAGATGCAACGTTGAAAGTAGTAGTGAAGAGCTTGGTGAACCTATCCAATCTCCACAAAGCATTAGCATACATGGCTGCTCCATCACCGGTTTGAGATACCACACCCGGCTGAGCTGCTCCAACTAGCTGAGCTGCTGGAGTTTGAAACTGGGGATCCATCTACTCTGGAGTGCGAGTAGCAGAAGTCTGGGCTCCTCCTCCATCCTGAGAGACGGCTGGTGCTACAGGAAGCAAGTCTTCCCGGGTGACGCTCTTCATAAGGCCCACTAGACGGACCAGAGCATCCTGGAGTACTGGGGTAGCAATAAACCCCACTAGGACCTGAACTGGGCCCACCGGGACTGTCTGAGATGGAACCTCATCATCAAAGTCAACCTGAGGCTCCGCCGCTATTGCTGCTACTCTAGGCTGAGCTCTACCCCTACCTCGGCCTCTAGCACGACCTCGGCCTCGCCCTCTGCCCCTCGTGGGATCTACTACTAGGGGCTCGAGCTGTTGATCGGTGGATGAGGAAGCGCGTGTTCTTGACATCTGCGAAAGAACAGAGTAGAAATTCAATTAGCATTGAGAAACCAAACTGCACGATAGTAAAGAATAAATGTGAAGTGTTTTCCTAACTCTGTAGCCTCTGAAGATAAATACAGACGCCTCTGTACCGATCCCTCAGACACTACTAAGCTGTGAGTTGTAAGACCCATGTAACCTAGAGCTCTGATACCAACTTGTCACGACCCAGATTTCCTACCCTCGGGAATCGTGATGGCACCTACTAGTGAAAGCTAGGCAAGCCGACCATTTGAACAAATTACTTTTTCCCACCTTAATTCTTTAACGAATGTGAATCAACAGTTATAAACAACGAAAATTTAAGACAAGCAAAAGAAAACAATTACACCATTTAAATAATTCCAACATGATTTCTTAAGCAAAAACTACCCAAGACTGGTGTCACAACTCCACAAACGGTCTAAGAATTCTACAAACAAGGTCTAAAAAATAAATAAATCATTGTTTTTAAATTACATAAGTGAAACAGGAAGAAAAGATAGAGGGAGACGCTAGGGCCTGCGGACGCCTGCAAGACGGCCTTGGATCACCGTATGGACTGAAGGCAGCCACCCAAGCTAAGGTCCAAAAGTTGCTACTCCGGGATCTACACACAGTACAGAGTGTAGTATCAGCACAACTAAACTGGTAAGTGCCTAGCCTAACCCCGGCGAAGTAGTGACGAGGCTAGGACTAGACTACCAAATAAACCTGTGCAGTTATATCATATACAGCAGAAAATAAAGACAGAAATGTACAATTAAGGATGGGAGGGGGACATGTTGTGGGGAAATATCATTTACCAACAATAACTCAGGAGAAAGGCATAAAGAACAATTTAAAATTCGCAGCAGAAAGAATAAGGAAAACTGTAACCAATCAATAACCACTTTTATCATTTATTGTTGCGGCGCGCAACCCGATCCAAATCATAAAAATATTGTTGTGGCATGCAACCCGATCCATATCATTTATCACTATTGCGGCGTGCAACCCGATCCAATTATAATGTTGTTGCAGCATGCAACCCGATCCAAATATAATATTATTGCGGCGTGCAACCCGATCCAAATATAATATTATTGCGGCGTGCAACCCGATCCCAATATACAATTCAACTCCAATCATAAAAGAGTCCCAGCAATGGAACAATAAGGAAACAACACTATCCTGACAAGGGAATCGACAGTATAAGTAAATACGTCCCGGCAAGGGAATCAGTTATAACCAAACTTATTCCAACATTTAAACTTCACAAAAGAAACCTCAACTAGCACCAACACTCAACCATAAGCAATTTCCACGAGAATAATCATAATTCTTGCCCAACACAGAGAATCAACTTAGGTATTCGTAGTACTTATTAAGAACCACAATTTCAATTTAAGACTCACGGGCATGGTTGACACCAACGTATAGATACTCGTCACCATGCCTATACGTCGTACTCAACAAATAACACATAGCAAATAGGACACGACTCATAATCCCTCAAGCTAAGGTTAGGCCAAACACTTACCTCAAACTTCCACGGCCAACTCAAGCCTCAAACACCGTTTTTCCTTTAGAATTCGCCTCCAAATAACGCGTATCTAGTCTAAATTGATTTAATAACATCAATAAATGCTAAAGAATTCGTACTCAATGCTTAATTATAGGTTTTCTATCATTTTTCCCAAAAAGTCAAAAATTGACCCCGGGCCCGCTGGGTCAAAACTCGAGGTTCGGACCAAAACCCGATCACCCACTCACCCACAAGCCCAAATATGCAATTATTTTCGGAATCCGACCCCAAAACGAGGTCTAAATCCCAATTAATCAAAAAGCCCTAACTCTACCCAATTCCCTAATTTCCGCCATGAAAACCCTAGATTTTAGGATGAAAATTGATGAAATGCAATGGAAAATTGAAAGAAAAAGGTTTAGAATCATATACCAATGTTTTGGGGAAGAAATTGTTCTTTGAAAATAGCTTCAATGCACCCAAATTTTGAAAATATGAAGTAAATGGGTTCTGCCCGTTTTTGCTTCTGTTTTAAAATCACTGGGCAGGCCTTCATCGGGTTCGCGATGGGCCTATCACATTTGTGATGGGTCAGGCCCAGCTGACCATCGCGTTCACAATCAGAAGCTCGCGTTCGCGAAGCTTCAGCTCCCAGAGTCATCGCGTTCGCTGTCAGGTGGCTGCGTTCGCGTAAGGTAACTTTGAAATCCCTCCCCCAGGCCACTAACCCTACGTGTTCGCGAGGGCCTGGACGCGTAGGGTATTCCCCCCACAGCCTCGCGTTCGCGTCCCAAGCTCTGCGTTCGCGAAGAACAATTTTCACCTAAGGGATATTGCCTTCTGCGTTCGTGAGTGAAGCCACGCGAACGCGAAGCACAAAATCCTTGTGCACCAGAAGCTGAAAACCTGCAACTTTTTCTAAGTTTAAAACCTTCCGAAACCTATCCGAAACTCACCCGAGCCCTCGGGGCTCCAAACCAAACATGAATACTAACTCAAAAACATCATATGAACTTAAACGTGCGATCAAATTTCCAAAATAACATCTTTAACGAAGAATTTAACATCAAAATCGAAGAAAAATCTCAAGAACACTTAAGTTCCAAATTTCACAAACGAGGGTCTGATTCACGTCATTTGACCTCCGTTTCCTACTAAATTTTACAGGTTCGGCTTAAATCACATATACGACCTATACCGGGTTCCGAAACCAAAATACAGGCCCGATACCATCAAATTCCAAACATATTCCATTTCCAAAAACTCATATATATTCCAGAAATAATTTTCTTTAAAAATTCATTTCTCAGGCTTGGGACCTCGGAATTCGATTCTGGGCATACGCCCAAGTTCCATATTTTTCTACGGAACCTCCGGTACCGTCAAGTCACGGGTCCAGGTCTGTTTACCTAAAATGTTGACCGTAGTCAACTTAAATTCATTATAAAGGCAAATTTTATCATTTTTTCACAAATTTTCATATAATGGCTTTTCGGCTACGCACCCAGACTGCGCATGTAAATCGAGGTAATACTGAAAGAGGTTTTTAAGGCCTTGGAACACAGAATTTATTTCTAAAACCAATGATGACCTTTTGGGTCATCACACAAGTAATACCAAGACAATATATTTAGAAAATCAAATCCAAGGCAGAAACAAGAATATGAACGAAGTACTGCTAGCAAACTACGGAATTACCGATGGCAAGTAATAACAGAACAAGACATGCGAATATAGCAAACTAAGGAAAAAACGGTACCGTACTAACACTAATATTATCGAACTAGAGAAGACAAAGGGAAACGCATGACTACCTACTAACCTTCTACCCTAATCTTCAACTTCCACACCCTTCTATCTAGGGTCATATCCTCGGTTAGCTCAAGTTGTGCCATGTCCTTCCTGATCACCTCTCCCGAAGACTTCTTTGGTCTATCTCTACCCCTCCTCTCACCTCCCAAGATCAACCTCTCATATCTCCTAACTGGGGCATATGTGCTTCTCTTCTTAACATGCCTGAACCATCTCAACCTCGCCTCACGTATCTTTGCCTCCACAGGGGCCACTCCCACCTTGTCCCGAATAACTTCATTCCTAATTTTATCCAACCTAGTATACCCACACATCCATCTCAATATCCTCATTTCCGCTACTTTTATCTGCTGGATATGGGAGTTTTTTTAATGGCCAACATTCTGCCTCATACAACATAACCGGTCTAACCACTACCTTGTAGAACTCACCCTTAAGTATGAACGGCACATTCTTATCACACATAGTCGGTCTGATTAATGATGTTAGATAAATAAATTAAAGATAGAATAAACAGCCAAACCTGTAGTAATATTGAGTTCGAGCTCGGTTATAAGCTTAACAAGTAGCCTGCCTTCGGTTCGGAATCAAACACTTATGAAGAACTATGAGCAAAATTAAAAACTTTGAATAACTTTTTGAAGCAGAGAAAACAGATGTATATTGCCTTGGTATGCATGTTACAGAGTGTTTATTGAATAATAAACCTCCCCTTTATATAGTAGGGGAGTTTTACCCTAAGTACAATTCTAAGAAAGATAAAAATGTCCATTTTCGCTAATCATTCATCTGTTGTCGATACAGGCCGAGATCTACGCCGAGATATCCGGTTGGGCATGGATATCACGGCTCTTTGTTAATCGTGTGCGAGCGTTTGGTAATGCTTTCCGAGGTCTTGGAACTCGGACTAGATCCGGGGGGAGCGTGGTCTCGATGGCTCCGAGGGTAGGTGTTTTATTCGGGCCTTGATACGAGAGGCTCTCACCTTCGATTTTGATTCCTTGTAGTTACTTCCTAGCTTCGTTTGCCACATCGGGAAATCGGGGTGCCCATTAACCTCAGTTTTACCCGTATACGCACATACAGAGGAAAAATNATATATATATATATATGATTTATTCTTCCTACTTAAATTCTTGGCTTTAATAATATTTTTTTGAAGCACTTCTTCTAGAACATTTTTGGATAAAGGAGAAAAACCCTCTAAAAACAACTATCAACCAAATAAGTTTATATTTTTCTGAAACTTTACCCAAAAACATTTTGAAAATATTTCCCCAAAATATATTCCTCGAAAACAGTCTAAACGTGACATTGATTTTGTATATTTGCATAGATGCCCCCAAAACTCTCAAGAATTTAGAGCATGCATCATATGAAGTCTTTCAATATGGCCCTACAACTATCTCATACAACTGATTTTGCACCTCAAAAATAATTATCTTACACATGTCCTTTCAAAATGATGTGATTTAGTCTCTTTCGAAAAATGTTAATGAAGTGATTTTTTTTATTTCAAAAATAGCACGCCTGTGAAAAATAACAACAATAACGACAACAATAACATACTCAATAAATTCCCACAAATAGAATCTGAGGAAGGTAGTATGTACATAGACTTTACCCTAAAGGCTGGTTCCGATATATCCTCGAATAAAGAAAAAACGGAAAAAATAGCGGCAACAAGCAATAACAACAACAATATCTTAAGACAACCTACGCGAAAGATAGAAATCAAATAATAGGTAGTAATAAAAATTGAAGAATAAAAGGATATCATATTAGCACTAAAATTACCATCACGGGAAAGAAAAAGTAAAACGCTCAGGCTACCTACTAATTTTCTATCCTAATTCGCGACCTCCATACTGTACTATCAATCTACAAAAATAACTACAATGAGATCCAATATTTCATGACATTTAAAAAAGGACATATTTCCTATGCCTTTTTCATGTATATATTCATATTCACTAAGCTTTATAATAGGTCTATTGTTAGGCATGTGAGAAAGTGTATGACATGATTAACTTTTATTTTCAACGTATCATGTGATTTTACTATTTTCTACCCATCTTTTCTCATCATTCAAAAGCATATATTCTTGATTTTTTTTTTCTCCAAAAAAATCTACCTAGACTTTGCCTACAACAAATGAATAATGATTGATTAAATAATGGTATCTTAGAAAAGGGGAAGATTTTCTTTTGAGCAATGTGTCTTATACATGACGGGATGCAAATATTTAAAGTCTCTTTAAATATTGCACTCTCATAATTAGTGCAAAAAGTTATTGGAAAGTGCCACTAAATTACATTATGGCACAAATCTTCTTGTTTTTTCTTCTTTCCTACTATTAAATTAATCTTCATTGCACTTGTACGCATCCTATGTCCATTACTTTATTTTTTTCCCCTATTATATATTTTGTTTCCAATTTTGTACTATTAAAGTACCTCTATTCCTCTTAGTGGTGTCTTTTCTCTATTACATATATTCCTTGCTTTTCCAAATTTCTTAAAATAGTTTGATTACAGCTCAAAGGGAAACATCTCCCTTTTCTGTTGACAACTAGTAATAAGGAAAGCCTTACCGTAATGGTTAATTTGATATAACTTAGTCCGATTCTTCCTCGAACCTGTCATAGAGCAGAGTATAGTGTACTGAACTATCCTTTTATTGACAATCAATAATAATATACAACCTGATACACTAGCACAATGTTTAAATTTCATGATTTCCGTCGAAATTTTTCTTTTATTCTTCATTGTTATCTTCGAATTTCTCATAAAAATAAATAAATATCACCTTGTCAGTACTTATCTTATGAACTAGCTTTTAAAGTTGAATTAGACACGAAATTTATTTCTTTACAACACACCCGCTAATAAAATCATTTAATAGCGTTAATCCTTAGAAGTACTTAATTAAATTATCTGTAGCTCTTTTTTAAATGAGTAATTAATGATTTTTTTTTTTTTTGAATATCAAGAAAAGGATTGGATGAAAAAACATTACTGTCTTCTTGATTTTATAAAGTGACAAATATTCCAAATCAAATATTTTTCATAAATGTGACAAATAAAAAAGACGGGAGGGAGTACTTATCTAGAAATTAAGAATTTTTTGACAAATATATTGCAATATACCAGAAAGAAGAAAATAGTTATTTCAATATATTTAAGAATCAATAGATCTCATTTTCAAAGTACAACAGTACAAGCATGACGACATAATAGGATTTTCGACTTTTTAGTGGAGGCATCTTTCTGTGACATTAATCACTCAAATCTTTTTTCCAACTTTATAATTATTAGAGGGACCAAATTAAAGAAATGATTTTAAATAAAGAATCAAATAATTAAACACCATGACAAAAGAGACATAACAAATCAACCCAACAAGGATTAATTGGACTTATATCTAAACCCTTTTATGGTAGCACATGTTGTATGGACAACACATTTTTATTTTTAACACCCCACATATTAATTATTAAAAAAGCAAAGAATATTTCAGATGAAAATTAGAGACATATTGGGAAACTAGACCATACAATAATATTATATATATACTAGTCTTAGGATACGCGCGTTGCGCGTGTTTCTTATCTTAATAAATTATTTTTTGTAAGAAACTTACATATATATTTAAATTATATTTGAATTATAAAATAAAATATAAGCTTCTGAAATTGATGAATATTGATCTTATATAGCCAACTCAATAAAGGAAAAAACTTTATTCATAGATGTCATCAATCATTATTCAATATATTCACTTTAAAAATTGTTCTAATTTTATAATTTTATCAGTTGAATTTCACGAGTTATTGTACTTTCTTTTTAGTTCCAATAAAGCACATAACCCTTGAAGATTTAAAAAAAATGAAAATATTTTTCATAAGTTATTCTCAAGTTCATTCAAGAAGAAAACGACATAATTAATTAGTTGTACTTTTATTATGTTTCTTTAAAGATATTTAAATAACATAAATTAAAAAATTGAATCTTATGTCTTATTCTTTGTATCCCTTCGAAGGTTTCAATGTTACCCAAGCAGTGAGGTTCTATTTGATAAGATAAGAAGATAAAAGAATTTATGAGTTACATAACTTTGTCGAGATATGTGGGCAAAAAAAGCATTACTAAATATGAAATTTAATAGATGAAAAGAATATGAAATTTTACAAGGCAAACAAATTATAGTGAAAAGTTATTGAATCCATTGATTGTGTATGTACATATTAATTTAGATATTTTTTATATATATCATCCATTTTGAAGATCTAAATACTCGTACTTTCTACATAGTTCAAATAAGAAAAGATTTAATAAGTATAATTTTAATTAATTTGAAGTCCTAAATATTAATAAAATATTTAAATTATATTTTATTCAATATAAAATTTATCTTTATAGGTAAAATATCAATTAACATTTTTTTGAGATTTCGTGTTTTTATAATATAGATTTAAGCTTGTACGATTTAGTATGATTAAATATACTATCAAATAATTATTTTAGGTACTTAATTGAACATGGGTTGATTATTTGTATGATTAAAATAAGAGTTTTTAATGCATGTTTAATTATAAAAGAAAGAAATAATTTTTATTTAGATGTTCTTGTATTAAATAATGTTAATTTAATATTTGAGTTGATGTCCTCATATTTCGGTTTAATTAGAAATCAAATGAGGGCACATATAATCTCGTTCTAGTCTTGGTTTATAAGTATTACACCAAGTGTGGATTTTATAATTAGTACAATTTATATAAGGTAAAATATTAATTGATACTATGTCCTAAATATTAGAACTTTTTACATAGATTAATAAGGATAGATTTAATATGCAAAATTTTAATTGATTTCAATGTCCTAAATATTAGGAGAGTAACTTAAATTCTAATTTTGTCAATTGTGAAAGCTGTTTTTGAAGAGTAAAAAAGACGAACGACATTTCGCTAAGAGTCTTCGTGTTTTTAATATAGTATATAGATAATAATAAAATTAAACTATTTGTATGTAATCACGCATGTATGAAAAAGAAATAGTATCTTATTTGATATTTGTATTTTCAATTAATGACTACTAATGTGGAGACTATTTCGTGTGCGCGCTAAATATTGAACGTTTATGCATTTATAAAAAAGAGCTATTGGAGCAAGCAAAATTTGCAAAATATTATAGGATGGGACGATGCCACGAGCATCATGCTCACCCCATATTTTGAGATATACTCTAAAGATAGTGAAGTACAAGCTTACCTATACAAAGAATTTCTATAGCATTATGTTTGGAACCCTCAAAGAAAGGTATGGACATAACTT